AATGTAGAGACAGAGCTGAAGTCACCTACCTGATACAACTGACCCATATTGATGTGATCTTGACCGGTAGCATTGAGTGCCTTATTTGCTGTTTCCCTAAAAGACGGTCAGATGACAGCAGTGTATTCATAGTTAGCAAACATTATGGATCATCATCATGTGAGATGACTGACCTTCGATGGTCTTTTGCAGGAGTAGGAAGCCAGTGGTCAAAGTTCGTCTCCACTCTGAACCATCTACACAAATCAGGAAGGTGGTGTTACTTGTTTGAATGAGTCATCCATCCGACAGCAACCAGCTCCTCCTTACCCTCCAGTTAATGGGTCCAGGGGCCAGATGTCAGCTGGGCCCTTTCTATCTCTGGTGATGACGACCCCCTCCCCTGCTCTCACCCCACCAACGATGTAATACACCCCAGCGATAAGGGGGGTTTTAGACAGACGCATGACTGCATCCTGAAAGTCCTCTGCTTCCTCCAGGGTCTACATGAGTTACACACCATTAATTACACTTCCTCAAGCCTTAGATGTTGGTTCCCCACCATCATCTGCAGCGGACTCACCTCCCTCACAAGCCAGCTGTCTGGGGATCTGTGAAACAGGACTGCGGACACAAAGTTCTTCCACCAGTTCCACCAGTGCTTAGTTCCTGAGGAACCAGGACACAAACTTTCAGACCAAAAAACAATAAGATGCAACATTTGTACAACCATGAGAAATTCTCACCTCGCTGGTCACCAGACACTGTGAACTTCCCGGGACTCATTCCTGTCCACAAGCCAACATAACCAGCAAATGATGTTCCAGTGTAGGCCACCTAAAAGCCAGGGTCAACACAGAACCATCACAAAATCCTCTTCCACCAGACAAGCGTTTAAATTACTGCCGCATTTCAGCTTGTTAATGACAGTAGAACTGATCTAACGGTACAATCTCTGCAGAAGCTGAAGGGTTTGAATGCTTAAAATAGCCAGAGTACCAAGAACTTAAACTGTTTGCATAACAGATATCTGGAACTAGAGAATGATTACTTCAATAAACATGAAAATGCTGACTTTACAAACTGTATCTCTAAGTAAAAAAATCTGCTTTTAATGATTGCATGGAAGGCAAGATAAATCACAGCAAGAAGCCTCCCAGATCTCCAGATGCATTTGAGATATCAAAAAAGTACTCCAGAGTGTTGTTCAGCATGGGGGTGAGTAGAAAATG